GCTGGGGCTCTGGTGCCACCTCGGTGGAATCCCAAGCCCCTTTCACACTGCCAAGAAAATGCTCCATCGCGGAGGAGGCCTCTGATCGGGAGGACTCAAGCTTTGCACAGATTAAGTTGGCAAAGCCTGCAGCAGTACCACAGCCTGGGTATTTGTGCTCTCCCGGGCTTGTGGGCGGAGGCAAGGTAGAAGTCATGAGACCAGTGGTAACAAATCAGTAGACAAAACGAAACAGGATAACATTGTAGAGGACACCCAGAACCCCAGCTCCGGGTCCTTGTCCCATTACCAAAACAAAGCGGAAAGAAAACAAGCCGAAATGAAACGGAAAAATAAGCATACCGTACAGAAACTAACCCAACAAAGAAAATATACGATATTAAGGGCATGAAGAGGATAGCTTTTGAGCGAGCGCAAGTTCCAAACCGGCAGCCTCACGTGTTGTCACTCAACGATGGACAGGCCGGCCCAGGGAAACCAGCGGTGCTGGGACTAAGAGATGGCACAGAGAACCTTGGGGTCCTGAGCAGGAGAAACTGCTTAGTAGGCACTAGGAATGGTGCCTACCAAGGTGCCTACTACTCTTGCCTAAACCAAGAACTGTCGGAGTGGAGCTACAGGCCATAAAGCAGACACAGTGCTCCTTCTGTCTGGCAGGACTGGAGCAGCCTGCACCAAGCCCAGCGACCCCGCACCTGCCGGGCCCAGACGGGGCTTCGCTCTCTGGCTTGTAGGTGAACGCAGGCCAGCAGGCAGCTGAGCGGTGAAACGCTCAAGGAAATCAGTAGAACACACACTAGAGTGAAATTCAGGAAGTAACAAATAAAATAAGCATTCGATAAACTGCCAATGTCAAGGCGTTGGTGGGAACCCTTGTGAACACAAAAGGAAATCAAAACGCATGGATTTCAAACGAAAATACACTGCAGGGAAATAAGAAACCAAGGGAGCAAATACACCCAGAGAACTCACCCAAGGAAAGAAATTGCAAACATGCTGAATGTGCTGTCCTACGATTATGACATTCCTGTCAGCGGAATCTCGTATTCGGTACACATAAACCGAGAGGAAGGAGGACTAAGAAATGCCTGACACGTCTAAACCCGTATTCGTGACACCTAAAAAAATCTCATCAGCCTTTTGCACGGACTCCACAGCCGCCTTCACTTGTGAACACAGCATTGCCATGATTAAGAACTCGACTTCTACAGGGTCATTAAACAAAAACATAGCTAAATCAGGATTGCCTTGAACTCGCTGCGCACAAGAAATCTTTCAGCTAGTGGACACTGACTTCTACTGGACTCTGTAATAAAAAGCACAATTACGTTTGAACTTCCTATTGCCGAAACATCACTTGGGTACTGCTAGGAATGACCGGCTAAGGCAGACTGTCTCTTGCAGAATCAAAACTTCCGACGATGAAGAAATCGTTTTCAGCAGTGTATACCGATTTTACAGACTTTCTTTCTTTTTTTTTAAGATTTTATTTATTCATATGACAGAGACACAGCGAGAGAGGGAACACAAGCAGGGGGAGTAGGAGAGGAAGAAGCAGGTTTCCCGCCTAGCAGGGAGCCCGATGCGGGGCTCGATCCCAGGACCCTGGGATCAAGACCTGAGCCGAAGGCAGACGCTTAATGACTGACCCACCCAGGCGCCCCCAGACTTTCATATTAACAAATGATTGGCCAACGTTGTGTTTCCAACACCTAACTTACTATTGAATCTGGAGAGCTAGGTTCTTGTCTCATATAGTTGAAGAATGTATCTCGTGGACAAAGGAGAGTGAGGAAAGCCACAGAGTTTTATTGAGCAAAGCTCTCGGGAGTTAGAGGGGTCTCGACAGGGTTGCCACTGAGGGCTTTTAGTGGCAGTCTTTTATTGAGAACTGACTGGGAAACTTGTGACTTGAGATTCTTGTGCCGTCTTGGTTTGAGCATGGACTATGAAAACACCCTTAATGACTTAATTCTTTGAGGTTTGTCCATTTTCTATGATATATTGTAGCCGCCAAAGGAAAAAACCCCTGACCATCGACCATGGGAGGCCGGTGGTCTGTTTCCTTATATCTTGTTCACTCTGTCTTAGTGCTTCTGCCTGCCAGGAATAGTCTCAGAGCGTAGCCAGGAGCCCGTATCTTTCCCTACCTCTATCTTAACCCTTTCCTTATCCACTGTGATTAAGAAATCGCTTTTGCCTATTTACACATTTTGATGGCATAATAAACAGAAACGCAGCTAGATCTAGGTTTACAGAAGTTGCTAGGATGAAGAAATTATTATTTCTCCCAGTTTATACCGACTTTGAAAGGGCGAATCCAGCATTGGTATGATTGAAAAATCACTTTTGCCAGTACACATCCGACTTCTAAGGGCTAATGATGCAACCATTGCTCAGACAGAACACCCCAGAGCTTACTCCAAATCAGAAATGGCTTTAGCAAATATACACTGACTTCTGTGAGGCTGACAATCAGAAACGGTCAAGTCTGAATTTCCAAAATTTCCCACGAATAAGAAATTTTTGTAGCCTGTTGAATTGGACTTCTCCCGGACTTAGTAATAAAGACCATAGCTAAGGTGGACTTCCTACTGCAAACAGAACAAAACAAAACAAAACACAAAAAGCAAAAACAATGAAATACGACCCAAAAAGTCAGTTTTGCCATTGGACTCCTTCTGTCGGACCTAGTAACAAGCGTATTTGTTTCCAAACCACAATTTGCTACCGTTGAGAAATGGCAGGCCTGATAAACAGGTACAGTTTCCTGGAAAATCTGGACATACTCGGTCTTGAATGGATCTCAGATACCCCAGGCACGGGTTTTTCGGACTTACTAGGAGTGGAAAACTTTGGCTCAACTAAAGCGCCTCACATTGCGCTAAGAAATGGCTAACCCGGGATTTGGTCGGACTAAGAAATCTCCAAGGCAGGATTAAATGCTGATTTGCCAAGAGTCAACGTGGACTTCCTTTTACCAAGAAGTCCGAGGCGTGGCTACACCCTCGATCCGCCTAAAGCCGGGTCTGCGGCGGCTGAGAGAATCGCCTTCGCCGCGGCTCCCGGTCTGGTACAAGCTGTGGAAATCGCGGCCCGACTACACCGGACTCGCTACCGCAAAGAAATCCCACGCACCGCTAAGTCCAAATCTGCTAAAAAGCAAGAAATGGATGATGACCGCCAAGTCCCGAGGTTCTGAGGCAGAGAGCCCCGCGGCGCGGTCAGTAATTGTTCTCATGTCGGGAGGGAGGCGGTCTGCCCTGCTGTCCTCGCTGGGAAAGAGAGCGCGCGGCCCGGCTCTGCGAGCGAAGGGACACAGAGAGGCGGCGGGCTGGACCCTCGCCGCCGCGCCGCCACCGAGACACCTTACGGTCGGAGAAAGTAGGGGAACCGCACCTTTGAAATGGCCAGATGGGCGCCACTAGAGAAATGCAAACTGGGCGAAACTAGCGGCGTTGCCCCCGAGAAACAGCCGCGTTGCGAAGTCAACGGTGCCGTCGCTGAGAAACAGTCCAGCTGTGACAAACGGGCGGCGCTGCGACAGACACGGGGCACAAACCCGCGCGGTGACAGACACGCCGGCGGCTCGGAGCTACCGGCCGAAGGGCTAGGGGGAAGGCCGGGGAGTGCGACCGGCAAAAGGCCGGCGCTAGCCGTCCGGGGACAGAGGAAGGGACGGCACCCAGCGCCCCTGAACTTTGCTCCGGGGCTGTTAGTGGCGCCGGATCCCAGCACTGTCTGGTGGGCGCCGCGACTGAACGCGGTGATGAGAAACAGGCGGTGGGGTACAGAAGCCGCGCCGCGGCCGAGGATCACCTGGCTCGGCGCCAGCTCGGGTGCTGCCCCCGCCCCCAGGTCCCGGGCTTCCCCGCTCCACTGCGACCGCGAACCGAACGCCCCCGGCTGAGCGAATAGACGGCCGATGCCAGCGAAACACACGGCCACCGGGAGAGCGCCAGCCAGGCTCTGCTTGCCAGAAAGTGGGCGGGCGCACGGTCGGCCGTGCTCCTCGTGGAGTCGAGGCCGACAGGCGCCCACAGGGGGCACCCAACGGAGCTGGGACGAGCAGGGGAGCGCACGGAGCCCAGAGCGGTGCAAGTGCGGAAGGGGTCAGGCTCCGGCGAGGGAGCTGCCTGCTCGCAACCCGCCGCTGGGCTCGGTGCTCCCAGCGTTAGAGATAAAGAGAAATCGCGGCTTGAAATCCGCGTGGAGCTGCGCTAGGGACCCGCGGCTCCCTGGACGGAGTGGGGCTGGGACACCTTCAGTGTCTGCCCCGCAAATGGTTGTGGTGGAGCCAAAAACCAACATCCCCTCGCCCGGATTATCTGTGCTGCCCGAAGCAACCACCAGCCCTCACAAGGAGTTGCATTGCCAGTGGGAAACCCTTAATTCAGAACTGGGCGTTGCAGCAACCCTTAAACTGCCTGAAAGTGGTGCAGGTACTATTGCTCCCACTCCTCGCCCCCCGATCAATCCCGTTGGGTATAAGGAAACCTTTATTTTTATTTTATTTTTTTTTCCCGAGACAAAGCCAGGAGGGTCTCCCTGGAACAAATTTTCCGCAAGGGAGAGAGTTCCCCACTCCCTCCTCAGTACCACTGGGCCCATCTAACTTTTCCCTTTATGGGAATACAGAGGCAAACCCCTACTGGGAGTTGCGAGGACTCAGGGTTCCTGGCCACTTAATCTCTGGACAACCAGTTTCTAAACTCCAGGGCCTGAAGCTAGCGTTCTGCCAGCCACAGCCCCCTTCTGCTGGCCATCCCTGGACACATTATAGCCCTCTAACGCCTCTGACCTCCACTTAGCCTGATTCCACTACTCCCTCCCACCCCCTTCCCTAACCACAAGGACTGGCAGCCATTCAAGCTCCTACCCAAGGAATTGGCTGCTCCCTGGGGCTTGTCCCACTCATTCCTATGCCACTCTGCCTGTCCATTAGGACAATAAAATTTCAGTCTTTTTTCCCCTATTAGATACCAGGGCCCAAGTCACTATCATTCCAGGAACTCCCTCTCAAATTCCAAAAGGAAAGTCCTACTTGCAGGGCATTCCTGATAAAACAAAGGTGGAAGACGCATTGGGATGTAACTATTGGAACCATTCACTTCAAACAGCCTCCTCTAGTGGTGGCCCCCGGCTCTTTCTTTTCTTACTATAGGCATGGAGGCATTGACAGGATGCCATGCCACATGGAATAAGCCCAAGCTCTTGTACTTCCTAGTAGGACTGCCAAATGGATGCCTGTGACTCCCCCTCTCCAGTCAAGATGGTAAATACTCCCTAATATGCCTTAAACAGAGCACTGAAGGCCTATGCCCTATCATTAAAGGCAAGAGTCATTAACCCAAAAGCTCCCTTTTCAATAGCCCCATTTGGCCAGTACTTAAGCCAGTCACTAATGCAGGACACCTCACCATTGACTATGTATCCAAACCTCACTGCTCAGGTTCCCTGATTAAGGTTCCAATTCCTGATATTATAGAACTGATTGAGGACATACAACAGGCCCAAAGAACATCCTCTGCAGTCATTGACCTAGCTAGTATGTTCTGTTTTGTTCCCACTGTATAGGAATCCCAGGCTCAGTTTTCTTTCACTTTTGAAGGGACTCAATGTACATTTACTCAGCTCCCAGTGGGATATTTAAACAGTTCTACAATTGCACATAACCTCTGCTATCAGGTTTTATAAGATTTAAATACCTTACAATTGGAAAGGTGCCATTTTGGCATTATATTGATGACATTATGCTGAGGGACCTGACATTATTCCCTCTGAGAAGGCAGTATAGGCAGATTTGCACACCTTCACAGTCACATTTACACCCCACATTTATGCAGGCCCAGTTTTATCTGTCAAGTTTCTAGGCGGCATCTGGTCCTCTCATTGCAGAAAAACCAAAAGATATTGGCTGTGTTGATCCTATGTGAGAAAACTGAAAAAGGCATATGCTTCTAGAAATTATGAAATGTAGAGGTGCCTGGGTGGCTCAGTCAGTTAAGTATCCAACTTTTGATCTCAGCTCAGGTCCTGATCTCAGGTCCTGAGATAGAGCCCCACTTCAGGCTCGGTGCTGGCCATGGAGCCTGCTTAAGATTCTCTCCCTCTCCCTCTGCCCCTCCCCACCTCTCTAAAAAAAAAAGAAGTTAAAAAAAGAAATTATGAAATGTATTTATAAATTTGCAAATTTAAAAAGTGCTGGTATAACACTCAGTTCACAATACTTCTTACTTTTCCCTGGAAATTAAGGCTTCTAAGGGTTAAAAATTCTAAATAATATGTATAATTAAAGCTACTGGAAATAATAAGGGAAGCATCTTCACATGCCAGAAACATAGGAGGTGTTTTCAGTAAGACAAGGTGTGAAGAATGGGGGTGTGTTTTTTCTTAAGGGAAAAGAAAGTAATTTTGTTTTAAAGTGAGGCTGATTGTTTAAAGAAGAAAAACAGAACAAAATTGGAATGTAGAAAAGAAAGTTGTAGAAAGATTATAGAAAAGGAATGTTTGAAAAGGAATTTTAATGTATGGTCAAACTGTCTAAGATTAAAATTCATTTACTTAAAAATGAATTTTAATATCAAAAGTAACTTGATGCAAAATTAGAATTTGCTTTTTTCTCTGTTAAAAGAACAATTTTCTTGGATTTTTGGTATGTTTTGGATAACAGATTATGTAAAGTTTCTTTACTTTTTTATGATAAACTATTTTTATTACATAGTATTTAGTAGTCATATTGAATCAAGAAGGTCAGTAGAAACTTGTAAATATTCTGCTAAATAGCACACTCTACATACATATATTTTCAATGTGGTAACATTGAAATAATCCATTTCCTTTGTTCACATAGTTTTGCAAACTGGGGAATAAATAAGGATACAAACACAGAAAAACTTCTTTTCTTAAACTGGTAAGATTAACGGAGATTACAATTCTATTTAGTGATAAACTGATGATTGACCCTGACCCGAGGAACACAAAACTCAAAAAAGTAGCTCTTGTTCAGAAAAGTGTGGTAGAGGGTGCATAGCAGTGATACCTTGTGGTCTCCATAGTGGTGTATTTGAGGTGATTTTTTTTAATTGCCAAACTGTATTACTAACTCATTATAAAAAGTAGTCAAAATTTAAAGCATTCTGATCAAAATGGGTCTGCACATGCCTTTCAGAGCCCAACGGGGCTCCATCCAAGGACCCTGGGATCATGACCTGAGCCGAAGGCAGATGCTTAACCAACTGAGCCACCCAGGCGCCCCACATTCTCATCTTCTTTACTGTCCTCAGGGTCTTCTAAACCATCAAGCCCACTAATGTTTCCAGCAGGCTGGCTGCAGACAACATGATCTTCCATTCCCCAAGAAGGTACTCTCACAGGCAGCCTTTGGATTTCACCTGGGTAAACAGCACCATCTGCACCAACCCTGGTTTCCTGTGTTGCGTTAAGGATCACCAGACTGCAGAACTGGCTGTGTATTCCGCACTGCAGCAACATGACCATTTTGCTCAGAGCAGGTGTCGAGACACCGTGAGATCTTCTGAGGACTCTGGGAATTCTGACCTTCCATTTTCCTTTCTGCTTGATTTTCTAGACTCCTTTTAAGTTCCTTCTCTCTGGAGAAGTTTTCCAGATGTGAAGTTAGACCATTTATCTTTGTCTTTCTCTGTCAGTTGAAGTTTGTAATTGTCCTCTACTTCAGCTAGTGCTAGTGTTATATTTCCAGCAGTCTTCACTTGCTCTTTCCATTTCAGCTCCATGTTTGCAGTTCATTGACATATTTATTGAATTTTGTTTTCTCATCCTGCAAGAGTCACTTACCTTTTTTATATTTTTCTGTTTTGTCAGCAGTTTCTTTGGTCACTTCACAGACTTGCCCCTTTGTTACACCGTCAGAATCTGTCTCAGCTGCAGACAGGGGTGGCTTTATATCTATAGTAGACCCAGCAGTAGCTGGGTCGGCATTTATGGAGGCACCATTCCCTTTTTTGCTGATTTCCAATTTTCTTTGTGAAGACACTGTTGCTATTGGCTGATTGGTCTGAAAGTTTATTTGATTTTGGAGCCTCTAGCATTCCTTGATTTTTTCTTTGTAATGATCTGCCGCCATCTGAAGACAAAGTTTCAAGTCTTCAACTTCTCAGTTCACGTTCCAGTCTATCAGTCTTTTCCTGGCCTTTTTTCCTCCACAGCATTTAGTTTAAGTTCTGTCACTGCATCAGCTTTTTTCCAAGTGTGCAGTATGCAGATCTGCCATTGTTTTATCTTGCACATATACAGCATCACTAAAAGTTCTTTGGCCAGAAAGACAACTTTTGCCGAGTTGCCTGAACGTGTTCCTCTGCTTATGAAGTTGTTCCTTAAAAAAAAAAGAAGTATCTTCCTTACTTGAGGTTGTAAACAAGAAAGCCCTTTGCAGATTTTCCTTTTCAGCCAAACAGAACTACAGCCTGCCAGTCTCTTCTTTGAAATGAGTAATCATGCTTTCTTTTTTTTAAGTTTATTTATTTAAGGAATCTCTACACTCAGCATGCGACTTGAACTCACAACCCCAAGATCAAGAGGCATACGCTCCCCCCTTACTTCCCCGACTGAGCCAGCCAGGTGCCCCTGAGTAATCATGCTATCTTTGTTCCCATCTAAATTCTTTAAAGTCTGGACCTCTGACACAAGCTTGGTATTTTCTATTTCGGTGTTCTTCAAATTGTACCTTATAAAGTTCCTTCTCATCCTTTTCCAACTTCAACTGATGTTCCAGTTGTTCTCTTTCATATTGTGCCTTCCTGAGTTTGTCCTTTAAACTGTCTAATTCAGTTTCTTTTTCAATTGCTTTATGTGTCACTGACACAATATCTTCCTCAAGCCGGAGAGCTTTGGATGTAGCATCATTGTATCTCTTCTTAATTTCTTAATTTTCCATTTTTAATTTTGTGATACTTCAACAAGACCCTTTTGCTCTGCTTGCAGTTGGTCACATCTTTTTGATGTTTAAGCTCTCTTTCCAGTCTTCCAACTTATTCTCAAAGTTGTGTTGTTTCTTCTTCCAGAACAGCAATTAACTTTAATAGTTCTTTTTTTTTCATGGTTTCTTCAGTTTTCAACTCAAGAAGGCCAGCTTTTTGATTACCACCAACATGTCAGAATTTCCTTCATCTTCCACAGTAACTCTTCAACTGGAGAAACTTGAAACTGGAAAGGTGTACTTGTCCCATGAATTTCACCCTTATGGGTAACATAACAGAACTGATAAAATTCTCCATCATCATTTGGAAAGTAATATCCTTGAAATGCTAATACACAATTAACTGTTGATCCTTCTATGTAATGTTCAGGCATAGGAGACCATAAAATTGTGTAATAATCGCAAGCAGTACTCCATCCAACCTTGAACATACCAACCCAATCTTTTGGATGTGGATGGATATATGGAGTTAAAGTGTAATGACATTCCAGGTGTGCATTAGGAAGATAACTCTTGGCCACATTTTGAAAGATGACATGGGCAAAGTTGGAAGTCTGCAAGGGGACTTCTTGAAGAGATGTCACTGTGAATCCTTCAAGGGGCTCCGGGCAGAAGGAGCATTACAGAGGCTTCTGAGCTTATACCACCATCAACTGCCAAACCTCTCCCACCACCACTGCCTCCCTCCACCGACTGGCTACACTTCCCAAGTTTCTTTACCTTTTAAGTATTAAGTTTCATAATAATCTGTGGTTCTATTTAGACAAGTGCTTTAAAACCTTTTTTTTAATATTTTTTACAAACTACCTGAAGTCAAATTGTAAATGAAGTCTTTTTGACATGCACTATTTCAAAGTACTTGTTACATTAGGCTTATTTGAAATGTAAATAAATGTAAAGTATTTGTTAAATTAGGCTTATTTGATATGTAAATTTCATGGGACCTATTGTCAACTAAGTAATACTAAGCCTTCTTTATATTGTATTTTAAGATTGTGGTACACGTGAATGAAGTCTGTTCTCCTGCAAGAAATGGCCCTTCACTGCCAGGCTTTTGCCATCTTGATGTCTTTGTAACATGGCAACACTCTGCTCCTGAATCAGAGAAATTAAGATGGGTGAACAATGGTTGTAAATTAAATGAACAATCAGGGCCATAGGAAACCCAAGACACCTGCTTGGTTCTTCCCAGCTCCCTGGCAAACCCCATTTTTTGGTTTTTGCATTCCTTCACCCACCCTAGTGCATTTAAGATGACTCAAATTATGGATAGACATCGGTGAAAAAACTTCCATAACATTGCAAAAATAGTCTACCAGTAATAATCCTGGAATATAATCCATAATCCTATAAAACTGGTTTTGTTCCAGAAGCTTCAGACCTCCTTCTGGACCTTCTGAACACCTGCAGCTGGACTTCATTCAACTGCCACTTATTATGGGTTATGAATATGTTCTTGTTATTTGTATGTGGTTTTCCAGATGGGTTGAAGGTTTCCCCTGCTACAAAGGTGATATCCTTATGGTAGCAAAGAAACTGTTAGAAAATGTTTCCCACTTGGTATACCTTTCCCAGTCTCTAGTGATCGAAGAACCCACCTTCACCAGGCAAATCATATGAACCTTAATGAAAACCTTGCAAACGTCTTGGGATTATCATTGTCCCTATCATCCTCAATCTTCAGGCAAGGTTGAGAGAACTAATGGGATCCTCAAACTTAAAACCTCTAAACTTGCCAAAACAACTGGACTTCCCTGACCTAAGGTATGCTTTTAATTTTGCTGACTGCTCATGGTATCCTTTTGGGAAACATAAACTCATTCCACATTAGATAGTCACCGTTGGTATACAACTTTCTGCTGATCCTTTATTATCTCATGCTAATATGACTGGCTACTGTAAGTCTTTAATGTCTTATGCTAAAGCCTATCATCAACAGGTTAGAGAAGCCTCCCCAGATTCCATTTCAGAGGATCTTGCTGGTCACAGTATGGAGGCTGGTGATTGGGTATTCTGGAAATGTCATTAGAGAAAAACAGCCCTTGAGTCTCATTGGAAGGGACCTTACCAAGTGCTCCTGACCAGGGACACTGCTACAAAATTAGAAGGCACTGAGCCTTAGATACACATCTCACACCTGAAGAAGGCTCCACCTGATATCTGGTCCTGTATAGACACTGGAGACCTCTGAAACAAACTGACAAGGAAGAGAAGTAGCTGACATTGAGGTAAACTGCTTCTGCCCAAGACAGGGGATCAGGACTTCATACTTCAACATGAAATACTTTCTCCCTCTTTTCTTTTCCTTTACTTTGGCATTGGCCTGGAAAGACCACCTCATTCATATCTCCCAGGCCACTGCTAAGGGGAGTAACCTTTCAGATTGTTGGATTTGTCATCAAAGATTCTGATCTATCCATGATGCTAGAGATCCATCCTGTCATCCTCCCTGTGACCCATTTCTCTTCTTTTCCTAATGTCACTGCAAAATACAATCAATCACCCTTAGAAGTCTCTTACTAAGTTCAGCTTTTATGGCCAGAACATCCCAGTGCCTTGTTTTTACCTTTCTCCAATAATAACTGTACTTACCCAATGTGTGAACTAGACTAACACTATCTTGGACAAAACCACTATGATGACCATTCCATGATCTGAAGCCTTCTTGAGCATAGCACCCTCCCCAGTTTTTCTTTCTGTTTAATCACACACTTAAGTACAGTCTTGGTACATAACATCCTTGATCTGTTCTGGGGATATGACTGTGATTCTCAAACGTTTCCTCCTGGGTGGTCCCCCAGCACATACTCCCCAACCTTTTGGACTACATTTAGCATGCCTGCACTCTCTATATCATCTGGTAAAAAAGGGAGTGAATTGGCATTGGGTAGAAGAATATCAAGCTAACTTTGACCAAGCTAAGATATTAGTTGCTCAAGCACAGGCTTCAGGTCATGGAATGGTCCTTTATTTTGTATCCCTGGACCCTAGATGTGGCTGTTACATGAGATTAGATGAATCGGGCATTATGGCAGGAACAGCATGGGAAGTTAACTCCATTGGGCTTTTGGTCACAATGCTGTCAGGGAGCAGAGATCTGATATTCTCCTACTGAACAGGTGTTGAGCCTATAAGGCCCTTTAATAAGTGGAGCCCATAATGACCATTCTTCTGGTAAATGTCTGGACTGGTTTGCCTATAAAGGGGTGGATAGACAGGATGTTTGCAAGATTGGCATCTGCCATAGCACAAGCCTCTATAATGCCTACTTACAACAATGAGTGTTCTTTCTAGTGGTCCATTGGGAGCTGAATTACATGCTATCTTTGAGCTGGTAGGATATGAAATCTTTAATGTCTCCCCCCAGGCTCCTATAGAGACCCCCTCATAAATAAATAAAGGAGGGCACATACCCTATTCCTAAAGATGCTTGGTATATAGATGGCTCTAGTAGAGAAAATCCTAGTCACTGGACTGCCATAGCAATCGAACCCCAGACTGATACTATGTGGTTTGAGGCTGGGGATAATAAAAGCAGCCAATAGGCCAAATTGAGGGCTGCCTGGATAGTATAAGTACATATGAACCTTGGCTCCTTACCCTCTGCAAAGACAGTTGGGCTCTCTATAAGGGTTTGACAACCTGGGTGGCCCAGTGGGCTAGGGACAACTAGAAAGTTTTACAGAAACCATTATAGGGAGCAAAATTATGGAAAAATATATGGGAAAGGATGCAGGACCCCACTGCCTCGTTTACTGTTTTCCATGTCTCAGAGCATAGGCTGACCTCACCCCCTGACACTATTGAGGAAGACACCTTAGCAAAGATCAGGACCCTTACCCCATACAAAATTCAGAATTGGTTGCGTGGATTCATAAGCACAGGGGGCATCACAGTGCTTGGGTGGGTTGGAACATAGTGAAGGGAGCTGGCATGCCCCTTTGCTGTACTGATGTCCTAGCAGCCTTCAGCAACTGCCTGATCTCCTACCATCTGAGACCTAGGAAGTTTCCACACACCATGCATTCACCTTGGGATCCAACCAGTTTTAGACTGGCAAATTGATTCTATCGGTCCTCTACCCATGAGTCAAGAAAAAAAGTACATCCTAACTTGTGTTGATACAGCCACTGGGCTTACTCAAGCCTTCCCCTGTAAAAGGGCTAATCAAAATGCCAACATCAATGGCCTAGAACAACTTAGTATTGTGTATGGATAACTTTGAAGGATAGATAGTGATAGGAAATACATTTCACTAGACATCCTGTGCAGGACTGGGCTCATGAGCAGGATATACATTGGCAGTATCATTTACCCTATAATCCACAAGCTGCTGGACTCACTGAAAGGAAGAATAACATTCTTAAAGCTCAATCCAGAGCCCTCTTACAGACAGTTGGACATCTTGCCAGAGGCCATATGCTTGTTAAATTTGACAGCCTGTGGCCACACCCCATACACACAGTTAGGTACCAAAACCAGCACGCCTGTGACTGTTACCGTCTAGAAAACGAGGCCTGAGGCCCTGGTTCCTGAGCTCAAAGCAGGCCAGAGCCACCATGGTTCTGTGCTCCTCAGCCCATTCTCCACAGGGGAGGGGACACTTGAATGGGGGTTGGAATGGCAACTTTCCCCCAGGTTGGATAGGCTATTTCTTGCCAGAGTGTGAGAAGTGTCCTGGACAGCTAAAGTGGTCCCCGTTGATCCTACTGGAGTTGGGGCCAAAACGGTCAACATTTACATTCCAGACAGGCACCTCTTCCACAAGGCACTATACAGCTGGTTACCTAACGTGGTTGTTTGTGCCACCTTTAATTTTACATGTACAGGCTGACTCTTTGGCCCCTGGGCAACATGTTCAGTGTGTCCCTCCTGCTCATGCACCTCAGACTGCCTCTGTCCTCATGACAAGAGTGAAGCCACTAGCATTATCTTTTTTTTTAGATTTTTATTTATTTATATTAAAGAGACAGAGGGAGAAGCAGACTCCCTGCTGAGCAGAGAGCCCGATGTGCAACTTGATCCCAAGACCCTGAGATCACGACCCAAGCTGAAGGCAGATGCTTAACCGACTGAGCCACTCAGGCACCCCAGCCACTTAGCATTATCTTAATTAGGGGAGAGCGTTTTCCCGGACAAGTACCCACTAAGCACTTATTCTTTTGTGTTTAGCCTGCTGGCTGCTCCTCTCTTATTCTGGTAAAGGAAACCCTTTTCTGCAATGGGCACAGACCTACAGGGATGGTTTACAGTGGGATTCATGCTGGTTATGTGGTTTTTGCTCCCTTTTTCAGAGGTCTCTTTTACTGTTGCTGTCTGTACTCCTGGTTTATGCTGTCAACTGGAACACTGGCCAAAAGCCTACCCCTCCATGATGAACCCCTCCATGATGGCTCAGGGAATATTGCGGAAGAGACAGGCACGTGAGATTGTAAGAGCTGGATTTGAGGGGTGGAGTGTGTGAGCCAGACTAACACCATCTTGGACAAATCTGCCATGATGATCATCCTGTGACCTGAAGACTTCTTGAGCACAGCACCTTCTTCATTTTTAATTTTTGTTTAACTGCACATTTAAATTTTGTTTAACCACAGTGTTAAGTGCACTCTTTGGGTATAATGTTCTTAACCTGTTCTGGAGATATGAGTGTGACCCTCGAACATTTCCTTCTGGGTGGTCCCCCAGCACATACTCCCCAGCCTCTAGGGATAAAAAAGGTCTTATGGGAGGTGGGGTTGTGGGGATCTATTCATCTTGTGGCCACCCAAAACACACTTCTGCGTGTAAGTCCCTTTAATAAACCATTTCTTGTCAAGCTGGACTTATTAGCCTTTTTTCTTCAGTCTTTGGAGTCTTCCTTCGGCCTCTGGAGGTTGTTTTCCCTTCCATGGAATACCCAACTAGATAGAAATACCTATATAAATCTTAGTACATTTGCACCCCCACATTCCCATGATTATCTAGATCAGATCTGCCCCCACTCATCAAGAGAACTTACTGGCAACACCTGTGTCTGCAAGACATTTAGAATGACTCTTTCTTTCAGGCTTGGGGATTCTTTCCACTTGCGCTTAAAATATGACTGACCCCTCACTTGAACAAGTAAAATGCAGTAATCCCTGTAAATGAACCCATTAATAGTACCACCCTAATGGGAATGGTCTGTCCTCTACAGGGTTTGTCTTTGTCCTTCTTCTTGGGCTTATGATGCCTAGATGGCTAGTGCACAGCTAGGCAAGGCCTTGTAGGTTACCTAACTGTGCCTGTAACTTTCCACAGACAAACTAAGACATTTCATTGGTTGAATCCCCTGGTAGAAAGGACTTACCAGGAGGCATTCATGACTCAAGATTTGCTTCCTTTGGCAGGGCCATACGCTCCTAGTTAGGAGTAAGTGTAAGTGAGAATATGATCAGGAGCCTCTCTTTAACTCTTGAAGATATTGCAGACTCCGTTGCTAAGACAATAGCTGCCCAACGAAGATCCTTAGATTCTCTGTCCAAGGTAGTTCTTAATAATAGGATAACTCTTGATTCTCTTTTGGCTGAGCCAGGTGGTGTCTGTGCTGTGGCCAACACCACCAGCTGTACCTGGATTAATACTTCTGGAGAAGTTGAAATTCCATTATATAAAATCATGGAGCAAGCCACCTGATTTAAAAGTTGGCTCCTTCAGCAGGGTCTTTCCTTATTTGATTTTGATTGGTTTAAGTTAGAAAGTGAAGAATGCTCACTGTTGCCTTTTGTGGCAAGAGAGGACTCCACCATGTCACTAGATCGATCCCCAAAAATGGACTATTTGCCCCTGGTCTTCTGGATTGAACTTTCACTCTACCCTCTTCCCATCTAGTCTTAGTTTTGCATCCATTCTTCAACTCAGAGGGGTGTCCTTTCAGACATGCTCCACAAAAGACTGATAGCTTACAAACCCCAGGATCTTCTAGTCCTGCAGAGTACAGAAGGGCTCTGTACATCTTCAGTGTACCTCCAGATACTTTCTTCTTCTTGGTTTATTTCTGATGCAATTGCTTCTAGTAATGTAGGATTATATTCAGTGACTTACTCTAAGAATACATTCAATTTTAAGGATTTTATTTATTTGTCAAGTTGGGGGGAGAGCAGGAGGCAGAGGGAGAGGCAGGCAGAGGAAGAGGGAGAAGCAGGCTCCCTGCTGAGCAGGGAGCTCGACACAGGCCTCAATCCCAGGACCCTGGAATCATGACCTGAGCCAAAGGCAGACGCTTAACCAACTGAGCCACCCAGGTGCCCTGAGTGCATCCAATTTTAACTCCTAATAAACTCTTGGCTGAAAACTGCATGTCTCCCTGTGGGAGAAAAGCAGTATTACTTGGGGACAGTATGAACCTGGTCTTGTGAAAGCAGAGTTCAGATTTCACAGTATAATCCAAATCCATGAATGTTCTGGTGTTAACTGGAACCCCAGGAGGCCCTGTGAGAGGATTCTGCTTTCCCCAAAATGTAGGAAACACAAAGAGAACCTTTCTGGATGGACTAACCTGGAACATCTGCTCAGGAAAGTGAAAAGAAAGTTACAACTTCTCCTGGGAAAGGGGAGAGCTTATCAGGAAGGTGACAAGTAATATGGCACTAAGTAATCACTCCTCTGAAGTTAGGATTATTGTTAAGGAGGAAGGGAGGAAGAAGGGATAAAAAGATAAAATTTCTCTGAGGTTTCTGAATTGTACTAAGCTAAGTATTTTTCTGGTTAATACTTAAGACTAAGTATTGGCCCAGACAAGGAATGCCCAAGGAAGGGCAGGCTTATTTAGAGTTGTCTGAAGACATCCAAAATTGCTGATCAGTAAATGAGGAATCCAGGCCTGTAACATCAGAGTCTGAGCAGGAGATATAGATGTGTGTATCTTTGGTACTACCTTGTATTTCAAGACAAGGGAATGGTGTACCCATCAGAGGTGGGAGTAGAGCAAGAAAGGGATGCATATACTGGGCCACAAATTGTTCTGAAGACTTGACTTGAATGTTCCTAGATTGGAGCACCTGGAATGGCCGAAATATTTCTAGCATTTTCTAGTTTAGAGTGAGCCTATGGAGGACTTGAGTCTCATTCAGAGTAAATCTGAGAGGTGTTCTGTTTCCAGAGTGAATTCCCGAACCCAGCTTAATATCATACATGTTTGCAAAGGAATCATACTAAGAAAACACTTGGGGGAGGGAATAACTATGCAGGGTCAGAGGTAGGAACTAGAATGCAAAATCAAGTTTTTTGGTTTTTTTTAATTAACAGAGCAGAGTTTTAGTTAGGAGTCCCTGATATCTGAATATCAGAAAGCTTTCCTCTAATTACAAGTTATATGTTATCCTCTGATAACCACTTTTGAAAAAGTACATTTTTTTAAAACTCAACAAAGATTAACCGAAATGTCCCATGAAACAGGCTCCTGGTTCCAAGAGCCCACTCAAAGGACTAAGTTAAAAGCTAATCAAATGGGTGGGCTTGGGGTCAAGGCGGGGGGATGTCAGCAAAGGGACCATTTGGCCAAGGCCTCAGACTCATAAGGATCCTCAGATTTACACATTAGATATTTCCTTGAACTGACATAGTACCTATAGTCACCATTTTTCATGGACAGGAATGAAAATTGTCATGTCCCAAATTTTAAGATGTTTAAAATTCTGTAATCCTGTATTTAGTACAGGATAATGCATTGCATTTGTTAAGTGTGATGTTTTAAGACTCACCAGATTTTTATTTTACCATGTGGCTGGCTTGGCTACTTCTGTACTCAGCCACAATTAACCTTCTGTCTTCTCCCTTGAACGGTAAGGCCTAGACATCTGAAAACTACATTTCCAAATTTTCCTTGCCAACAGAGCTGCAGTTAGTCTTTGTAAGTGGAAAGCACCCTTGCTTGGATCTGAGGCAGGAAAAAGTCATGCCACTTAGTGTGTAGTCACACCACTTTGGTGTGTAATAGGAGCACAGTCAGGCTCACATAGCATTGGCTGCTTTCTCTTTTCCTGACTGAACTTGACAGGCAGAGTAACTGTGACCAGGAGTGGTTTCAGAAAACAATTTAAAAATGAGAATTTAGAATTAGTTCTCAGACCTAGAAATAAACATAACCCTCGATGATAAGTGCTGATTTGTAAATCTGCTAAACTTAAACATGATGATTGCTTCATTTCTACTGAAACATGGTTGACAGGTTATAATTTTTATTTCTGTAGTGAAGAATCTACTGAAGTCAAAATACTGGATGTCTAACTGGTCATCTCTACAGACCATTTTGATGGGATTGAGGGCTACAGTAACTGTAGGGTGTGATGGCTACTTCCATTGAATTGCAAGATTTACAAAAACAAAAAAAGATTCATGGATTTATATTTTTGAACCAGAAATTTCAGTAATGGCCCTGAAAGAAGCCTTATTTCTTATAGATACAGTGATGAGAGAGCCAAAAATCAGACCCCAACTCTGATCCTTTTAGAGGCAGAATTAAAATATAAGGTGAATTCACATCTTCACCACACCTCTCATATGCAAGCAGTGGAATTGATTAGCAAGTAATAGAACTCTGTG